TGTTTTTAGCCACAGGTGTCTGTCTCTGGGCGGACACTCTTCGATCAGCTCTCATCCCGTGATTCCATGTAGACCTTGCTTTGTCCTTCAAAGCAGGTGAGACCCACGGGTTTGAGACCGCAGCGTCACCGTGGAAAGCAGCTGCTACTGACCTTTGAGATGCCCTCCTGAGGTGGAGCAGCTTTTGATATGCAAATTAACACGTTCACATATTCTTTCAGGGCAGAGCCCTGCAAAACTCCTGGGACCATTTCTGTCTCTAATATAGTAATATCAATTTATGGAGTGACATCAGTCCAGCAAAAGGGCTCAGGGGAGACTCCGGAGTCAATAGAATTAGGCTGCTGTTCACCTGCCATTGACCTTGGGCATAGCGCGCAACCCTCTGAGCCTTTAGCGCCCTGGTTCGGAAGTTCACAGGTGGAAATAGTCCTGCCGCCTACGGTTGCTGCGAGGAGGCTAACTGGTGTCTGTAAGGTGCTAGTGCCGTGCGCGGCACCCGAGTCCTCGGGACACGGTAGCTGGTGGCATCACGCCCGAGCTGGCGCGTGGAGCGGGGCTGAGCCGGGTGGGCTGGGTGTGACAATGGAGAGACCTTCTGTGTGGCGTCCGGTCGCGTCTGGGAAACAGGAGCAGCCGGGGAGGCCGGGACGGGGAAGGGGAACAGGCCGACGCCCCTGGTGTGCGTGGAGCAGCCCTCGCGGATTGTGCTTCGGTCTGGAGGGGCGGCAGAGGGCGGGTGGGTGACAACAGGCCGACCTCCCCCACCGCTCCAGGCAGCTGCAGGGGCCAAAGGACGTCTTAAAAGAGGCAGAGACCTCCTGAGTCTCCCTGCTTGGGAGGCGGCGCCCGCCGCAGGCAGGCCTGGCCCACCACACACTCGGGCGGCTTGCAGGCAGGGTCTGAAGCAGCACCGTCGCCTTCCCCGCTCTGCCGTGTGTCAGGAGCTGCGTCTCCAGGCTCCCTGCCTCCCCCTCTGCTGGTGGTTCGCCAGGAGGAGCCCTGTGGGACATCAGAAGGTGGGAAGAAGGGAGACACCAGGGGGTCTCTCCCATCTCCCCGGCCGCTTCCTGGGGCATCCCTGGCGGTGACCGCCTTCTCCCGCTGGGAAGCCCGCCCTCCGCGGTCCTAGCTGCTGTCGGGCAGCTCCAGTCTCCGGCTCTGGCATTGGCTCTGGACACCTCCTGTTCTCCCGCCACCCCGAACGGATGCCAGCCGCCTGCTGCTGACGACCTGGGTGGTCTCACCACCCCTGCTTGGCTCTCTGCTCTTCCATCTGTGTGACGGATTCCGGGATTAAAAGACCCCAGTTTGAAAGGCCTGGTTCCTGTTTGTCTCCCGGCTGGGCCCGGCTGATGCGGCGGTCTGTGCTTAAAGCGTGTGCGCCACAGACAGACACGTGCAAGCTTGGAGGCCCTGGTTTCACCTCAGCCTGACGGGCCGGGGGCATGTTCTGCGTAGACCAGAGCCCCCCACCAGGAGGCTCAGACCCACGATTTGCTGATTCCATAGCCTTTGTTCTCTCCGGCCACACGTGGCCCGCGGCTAAGGACCACATTCGTGCGTCCACACTGGAGATCCCTAGTCGCACATCTCATTTATTTCCACCGCAGGGCCACCGCTCACCGGACAGGCCATTCCATCCACTGAGCCTCGGTTTCTCCCTCTGTAAGGTGGGGGTAAATGGCGCCCACCTCCGATGATTACTGTGAGGTTCCAGTGAAACAGCTACGCTATTTGGCAGCGCTTAGCACAGTGGCGCATACGGCTCGAGAATCTGATCCCTGATTCATCTCGGACCGTCCTTCTCACTCCCCCGGCAGCCTCCGCCGATGTCCTTTTCGGGAAACGTGTTCATGATAAACACTCAGCCAGGAGCATCTCTGTTTGCGAGTTGTGTGCTCGTGAGAGGCCTTCATTCGTGCAGTGAGCACGTGAGCACCTGTCTGCGCCGGGCTCTGGCGGGGTGCTGCGGACACGGCTGAACAAGGCCCCATCCCTGCCCCACACGCTAAAAGGGCCACAGTGATGGGACAGGGATTGCAATGGAAGGTGGCACTGCAAGCGGGAGGGGTCCCAAGAGGAGTTGCTTTTTTTCCTCTCATTGAGGGGTATGATCAGTGGCTTCCTGGAGGAGGTGGCATTTGAACTGCGTTCTGTGTGTCGGGAACGGGAAGCAGCATGTAGCAGCCTTGGCCCATCCATTATACTTTCTGACCTCAAGGCCCCCACCTGTGAACCGGGGTCCCCGGGAGCAGTGGGGCAGGGTGGTTAAGGCACTGGCCCCGGGGCTACCTACCTGCTCGCCCCTCCCTGACTGGCTGAGTAACCTTAGCTGGGACGTGATGGCCCCAGGCCTCTGTTTCACCATCTGTAAAGTGGGGGAACGATGGTCCCTGCCTGACAGGGTTGGTGGCAGGGCCGAACAAGTCAAGTCACGTGAAGTGCTTGGGCCCACGTGTTTCCTTGCTCACCACGCGGTGCTGACGATGGGTTGCCTTTATGTCACCGGGAACTTCTCGGCCCCTGACTCTCTGTGTTTGCTCCCTGCCCGTAGCTGCCACCTTCATGGAGCACTGGAAGCGGAAACAGATGCGGCTCAATTACCTGTGGGACCTCACAGGCTTCGAGGAGGAGGAGGTCAGTGGGTTTGGTCCTGAGCATGCCCCACCCTCCCTCCACGTGCCCCTGCCCCTGCCCTCCCCATGCGCATGAAGGCTCGAGGGCATAAAAGGCTCTTGGTCCAAGCCTAGGCGAGATCGCTCCCCTCCCGCTTCTCAGTTCGTCTCCCTGGCGTTCCAAACACCGTCAGTTGCCAGGGCAACAGTTTGTGTCTGCTAAAGTGTTTTCGAAGTCCATGCTCACAGGGACGCGCCACCCACCAGCGTGGTCTCGGACGCACGCCAAGGCTCACCACACTGACCTCATTGCGTCTGGGGGCTGCCGGGCTGTTGGGGCAGCCAGCGGGTGTGGGGAAGGAATGGACGCTGCCCACGGGTCCCCGAAGGCGGCATTTGCCTGCTCAGGTGCCAAACCCACACTCCCAGGAGCCGGCTCTCTGCAGTCGGCGTGGCCAAGAAGCGGGAACGAGTCCTCCACTAACAGAGGGAAAACCAGCGCTGCACATCTGTGTGCCGCAGAGAGAGGGACAGTCAGAGTCAGGTGGCCACTGGGAGGCCAAGTGAACCGCTTGCCCCGGGATTGCCCTGACTGCCAACTCCAGCAGGAATTCCCTGCGGGATGTGTGGGAATGAAAAGGAAAGACAGTCCCTGCCATTAGCCTTGGAGCAGAGCAGAGGTGACCACATGTGCTCGCTGCTAGGTGTGGCCACGCTGACCACTGTTTAATGTTATAAAACATGCTCACTTTTTAAAGAGAAACCTCTCAGACATTGTCATTACAATGTGGAAATTTCTTCCACCATTTTCTCTGGGGCCAGGCTGCCCAAGTTCCATCCTGACTTGGCACCTCCCTCACTGTGTGACCTGAGGCAAGTTGCTTAACATCTCTGTGCCCCAATGTCCTCGCTTCTCAAATAGGCACTGAGAAATCGTCCTTACTCGATAGCTTTTTTTTTTTGCGGGGGAGTCTCCATGGGTACATAGGTATAAATCGCTGAGAGCAGGGCCCCCACGCAGTACACGCCCCACAAACAGTCGCCCGCGAGCCACTGCTGGGCCACACCCACACCCACCAGTAACAGTCTCAATCCTCTTCCACAGCGGGTCCCTTTATTCTGTTTCACAAATGACCAGACCAAGATGGATGTGGCCTGTCCATCGGCACGCAGGTCTTCAGGGACAGAGCCGGAGACGGACCCCAGAGCTCTGTCCCTGTGGCAGGGTTTGGGGCAGCTGCCTCTTTGGGTAGATTCTTTCCTTGCTGTTTCAATCAGAAAGATTCATAGAGAACAAAAAGCAGTCACTACCTTATTTTAGAAGCCGATTTCTATCCTTTCCATGCGGACCAGTCCCCTCCGTTCAACCTGTTGGGGACCCATCCCATAATCTCCTAACCCTGACTGTTCGGGGGTGGGCACCAAAGCCATTGGGTATGCAGCCCCACGGGGCCTCAGTTTCCCAAAGTGAGCCACCCTTGTGCCCCCTGTGGCCAACCAGGGCCTCTTTAGGGAGTTAGAGACCTCGGGTGCAGGGGCTGCCCCCCACGTCTGAACCCCAGGTTTGGGCACTCACAGCAGAAGGAGGCTCATGTCCCGTCGTTGGCCTGTGTCTCCTTAGCAGAGTCTAAGACATTGCAGTCTGACAGTTGCTTAGAATTTCCAAAAACACGGGAGCTACAAAAGCAACAGCCCACGCAGCCACCCTGCAGCGGCAGAGGCCTTCGGCAGACCCCGGCAGCAGCCCAGCCCCACCCCGCTCCAGTGCGCCCATCCACCCTCGCCCTGGTTCTTAAGAACATTGTCTCTAGCGGATGGGTCCTAGTTCGTAAAAACAACATAAGTAATGAAATCTTTGTTTTTTTGTTTTTACTCTTCTGGTTCCCTGAAGGAGGCTGTCAAGGTTTGGAATTTTTTGTCACTCCTCTGTCGTCCCATAGCCTGTCTCCCTGGGAGAGGGACCTTCTCACGCACCTACTCTGACTGTTTCTACCGTGCAGTTCCCTGCAGCTCTTCCACCGCGGGCGGGGTCTCTGCTTCCCCCACCTCTGGGTCTCTCTTAACCTGTTCTTCCGTTCCAGTGCCCTTCGCTGACCTGCCCTGGGCTCCCCCGAGGCCTGGCACCTCTGGGCTGCCCGCGCTTGCTGACTCTCACTGCGTCTCTTCCGACCCCACGGCTCCTCGGTAGACCGTCTCGGGGCCAGTTCACGGCTGGGTGTTCGCTGCAGCCCAGCACAGACTGATCCACCCCCAGGACACAGAGGCCAGATTCTATTTCCTTCCTGACGGGCTGGGGTTCCCAACAAGTGGGAGAATCCTGGGTCACTATCCAGACCAAACTCAGGGACTTTAAATTGGAAATATTACCAGCAGCCAACTGTGAACTGGCCCCAAAGGTGCCCAAGGCAAACATACACACTGATTTGCCACGAGTTCTCACATGAGGGTCTCCAACTTGCCGGGCTCCGTCCTGACTTGGTCTCTTTCACAGGATCATCCCAGAGCCGAATACGAAGCCAGAGTCCTGGAAAAGTCTCTGAGGAAAGAGTCCAGAAACAAAGAGGTATGGC